GGAAAGAGTAAGCATCACTGTTATAGAGTTTGCTGTTTCCTAGTTTACTTTTGCGAGAAAGATATCGCACTAAAGATTTCGATTCCCTTTGTCAAGTCAAATATTCGAACTCAACTTTGATTACTACAATCTTCGATTAACTTGATTTTGATAGTAATCAAACTTGTTTCCGCGCTTATTCGAACACAAGAAGAGCTACAAAGACCGGCTTTATATTGCTTTAGCTTATAGGCTTAATACATTTTGTCATTGTGGTTTCATAAATTTCAATTATTTAAGATGTAGATAATTGTTAGCAAAGAATTAATTAATTGATAAAAGATAAATTAATTGCTGATAGTAAAACTTTGAAACTTTTATATAACAGAAATGCTTGATACGTACATATCTCTTATCTAAATATATGTAAAACATTTTTTTAAAGCATTTGCTTGTTTCTTATACTTTCTTCCCTATGCTTTTTTCTCTTCTCTATTAACAAGTTCGTATATTTTGCTACTTTCGGTAAAAATATTGAGAAAAAGTTTAATTTCTCTCATAAACTTTTAAGATTTAAAAGACATTTTATTCCCCCCTTCTTGCGTTTTCTCTGCATCAATTCGACAAACTGAAGTATACAAATAAAGAAAATATGAAAAACGCTTGCATTACTCATATATATTTTAAAAGTCTTGTTAATATTTTAATATGCGCATGGTGACGATTCGTGGATTTTACTTATGTAACACTGTGATTTATGAATAATATTAGTAAAAGAGTAATGGAAACATTAATAACAATGAATTTCAATAAATAACTATTATGCAGTGCGATAGTATTGCATTTGCATGCTAATATTTATACAACACGATTAACTTTAAACATTTCGATATAAAATGCAGAGAAGGTAAATTGTTAAAGATAATTTGTAATTACAACAAAAAATTATTTTTTCAACGATCTTGTAGAGCGTTTTACGCACACTTAGAAATCTCATGCGTAGCTCAATTTTGTAATTTTCGAAAATGGGATACTCGTCTTTCTTGGCACAGAGCAGAGTCTATTCGGCATCTATTTCCGGTATGTAAGTCGCGTATGTTTCTGGCAAACGTCTGCGCTTAAAGACGCAAGAAAGGGAGATGCGAACAAGGAACAATTTGTCGAGGCGTTTCTTTTGTGTCATATAAAGATACGTTTTTATCCTATATTGCGACAAGCAATAGTATACTTTAAATATTCATATACGATCTTTATTGTAAAACCGATGAATCCTATCTTTTTAACTAAGATGGCATTTTTGTCATCTTAGGTGACACTAGATGCCTAATAAAATTATTTTGTTTCATTCTAATTGATTTTTCCAATTTATTATATCATAAACGCGGACCATGCTTTATCGATATCGTTGATTATAAAAAATTGCGCACCGCATGAGATAGAAATATATTTTAACAGTTAATAAAATTGCTATGTTTTTTTAGATTAAACTTTTGATACCAATCAGAATCAGATACTAATCACTACCGTATATTTAAAAGGATTCGGAAAAATAAGCTACATAAATTAGGGAACAGGGGTTCTCTACGAATGAAAAACATATTTTAGCTTTGCATAATAAAGGATAAATTTTTACATTGAATTATAGTACCATATATAAATAACTGCGCGATAATTATACGACGATAATACGATAATCTTATGCGTGTAGTAAAAAATGTTTTCTACATTACAATACATTAATTTCTGAGGTACTTAATCATACTATTTACAATGTATTTAATTCTCAAGGACACTTGTTTCGCTTATCACGACTCATTCTCTCTCTTTCTCTCTCTTCTCGCTCATATATATATATATACTTTACGCCTCTTCGTCAAATAACTCTTCGAAATAAAAAGAAATGAAATTTAGAAATTACAATCATGCATGAAGCGCGATGATCGATGCGTTATGACGCGATTGGCCTGCCAATTACTATTTTTAATCAAAAATATTGAAATCTACGCAAAGTGTCAAATAAACACTCAAAACTTTTTACAAGTTACAAAGTTGACTCGAGATTAACGCTCGAATTTTTATAGGATAATTCAAGTTGATCGGCGGAATAGTAATATAAATTATATTCTCATTTTGAAAAATGACAATTGTGTAAAGACAATGCAAAATTTTATGCCAAATTAATTCTTGTACGGAAATTAATGTATGTAAAAATTCTATTTTTCACGATTCATATTACTATTCCGTTTTTTATATATATGTAATAGCTTATAATAATAATATTAATATTATAAATAGATGATTTCGAATAATATGCAATGTGAATGGCATCTGCAAAAGCATTTTTTGTTGTTTAGGATACGTTACAAGAGAGTGTAAAGTACCATGTCACTGGTTTGAAATAAAAAGTAGCAGTCAGCACAGTCAAATCTTAATAATGTTTAACACAAGTCGTACATTAGGAAACACTATAAAGTATCATCAAAGACCTCGATAAATCAAGAGAAAAACACGTGACTAATTTATCTCTTTTAAATCATGCATATATATGCAAAGTACATTTTATCATGTAATACAAATTTTATTCGTACTTTAACATACTCAAGGCACTAACCATATTTATCATGACATGAAAACATAATCGGTTGTAGAAAGTTGTATTGGTGTTTGTATAATATAAACTCTTACAAGAGCAGTATCACCGAAATCCTTTCACATTTTCTCTACAATCTTTTACACTTTTCTTTAATCAATCAATACATACAATGGTCCAAAAATATATCAAGATATTATATTGATATTATATTATACGATTTTCTTTATCATACTTATGATAAGGCTTATGAAATATTAACGCGGCCATTCATATAAAGTTATAAAATATTACATTCCTTCAGCGACTTATCGAATTAATTTAGAAAAGCTGTCATCATTTTAAGGGGATAAATGGGAGACACAAAATATATTGATTGAGTAAAAGTAATGTCAGACTGCAGAAAAATAGAAATCATTTTATGCCTATAAGATTTTCCGCTAACAATTTAAGTGCACTTATAACAGTCAGTTATTCTACAGCTAAACTAAATATTTATATCTTTTTTCAACTTTCTGCTAACGGCTCGAAAATAAACTTTAGTTGGTCTTCGAATAACGGACTATCAAAAAAATGCTAATGTATAAAATATGCAAGGAACATAAGAATATATAACCAAGGCAAAATAAAGGCACTTAAGAATATTCGATATTACAATACAATAACGAATATGTATACGTGAATTCGTAAAACAATCGATCTTATGCATACATTATTTGTATTAAAGTTTATGAACAAAATATATATAATAGCAAAAGGTAGAGCAGTATTAGGCAACGCAAGTTCTGCGATGGTAATAATTAATGTTGCATAAAATCGGTTCCTAACGAAACAATATCAAAAGAACAATTCAGAAATGAAATATTAGTTTATAGTGCTGTGAAAGTTTTAAGGATTACAGTATATACTGTATGTCTGTAATCCTTGAATTAATATTTATCATATAATGAATTTGTATTAAAAAGGAACTTATCAATTGTGATAATTTTAGCTATGATATATCTGTTACACATATCATAATCATCCTTCATATGAATAATAATTTTATTCGCAATATATTTTTTAATTACTTGATTAGCTGAATTAATTGATAATCAATAACATTTTAAAAACTGGCATGTGCAATTAGATGAATTTCACAAGCCAAGCATCAGAATGAATTAAATCTATAAAGAAAGCACGTTATCGGCAGCATAACGTCAATCTTACATGTGTATAAATTACATAAGAATTTATGTGAAATTTTGATAAATAGAAGAAAAATAGAGTAGAAAGTTTTTATCAAAACGGTTGAATTATAATTAAAGTAAATGATTATTTAGAATATACAGCGAACTAAAGCACATAAATATAGTTTGTATATTATTTAAAAAATATTATTAGTTATGTAATTAATTTATATTATCATTTTTGCATCATGTTGTTTATATCATGTTATTATGTAATTATTTATTCAAAACAAATTTGTTCCTTTTGTTTTTAAAAATCTTTAATTTCAATAATGTTTTTAATATTGGCAATTGTTTATTTCCTCAATATAAGACGTGAATGGTGCAGCATCATATAAAGATATAAAACTATACAAATATTTAAGAGATAATATGAATTTCACGAATCTATTCTCGTTTTCATGTTATTAAATTATCGAATTCTAAGTTTTGCTGCCCTCTTGAGATTTTATATAAACTTTTTATAAATTCCAAAAATTCAAATCGCACAAGTCATATTGAATACAATATTATCTGAGCAAGCCTATTAAATTCATAACAGTTGGCGATATACACTTTTATTATTATAGTATATATGACTATATTGGCACATAATGGAGGTTGTTATTAGACTATTAAGAGTAATGTTTTCATTACCGAACTTTTGAATATTTTATATATACACCAAACTTGCATTTTTAATTTTGTTTGAAAAATCTAGATAAGATTGAGATGTTTCATAAAAAAAGTCTACATTATCGTTGTATTCGCGTTGATAAACAATCGATGTAAAACGAAGTCGCGCATTAAGTTTTTATAGCTCAATGATCAGATCTTCTCTGTATGACTCCCGTTGAACAAATTCTAATGAATAGAAAAACAGAAATAAAAAAGTGAGTGAAAACTGCACATGATTTTTTCATGCCCGAAACACATAAAAGAGAAGCAAAAACTATTTTTCTTATTAGTTAGATGCCAAAATATATTTTATTTCATGCTGTGATTAAATATTAGTATATTTGTCTAATCCATTATTAAACGAACGAATACTTTCAAACATTTTACATCAAAACTGCGCGAGTACAACGGGATATATTAATTAATGACACGATTATATAATGCTCTTTTTTTATGAATTATTGTTATTTTTATTATGAAGTTGTTGCATATGTTTGCAGTCTATTGATTAGTTTGGCTCTATTTGTCGTTAAAATAATGAAATTCGTTAGAAAATTCGTAAATAAATATCCCCGAATCAGTGTAATTTGATGATATATCTCCTAGAAAATTAAACTGGCTCGGCGAAAAGTGAACTATATTTGTATAAAAAAGTGATAGTCCGTTATCTTATCGGCAAGTAAGCGCGGAAGAAAAGGGGCATATACAATAATTACAAAATAATACATAAAATAAATAAAGATATTAATTATAGTAATATAACAATAATAATTAGGCATTATTGGCACTAATAACAGTAATATCATTTTTGCATTAATGATGTATTCGGGGATAAAGCATTATTCATGAAATCGTACTAAACTTTGCTGTAGAAACGAAATAATTGTAATTATTTTGTGAACGGAACACTGTGTAGGATACAAATGTTACGGTACGTTCTTAGGCTTTTTTGTTAGCTATAAATGTCTTAATATCAATACAGATGATCTATATTAGTTTAACATACCACAGTGGTTTGTTAAAAATGCACGTCTCTTTGTTCAGTATATTAAAAGTATACTGTAGCAAAAGAAAGTACGACTTCTTGTGCATACTAATTACAACCTTCGCAGCGAAGCCATACTGAGAGCTTTTCGAGTCGGTTGATCCGACATTGGTGCTACTAGAACATCATCTTTATTTGGAGAGCTTGAACCACCATTATCCAACTCCTGAAAAGATATAAAACTTAAAATTTAATTTCTTCATTCATCCAGTCTTCCATTTCCTTTAAACTGAAATGGAATTGTTATAGATAAAAAGAAAAAAAAACGAAAAAAATGGAAAAAGTAAAAACCAGCCCCATAATAGAATATAACTGCAATATATTTATTATTACATATGTTTCTTAGTTTCATTCTTTTCATAAAAATAAAAATATTATTTTATTTTAATTTACGTGTTTCTTTCTCCAAGTCTTATAATCTTGCAGGATTAAATAAATATTTTAAGTTTGATAATAACTTTTTAATCGTAGATAAAAAAAAGTTAATGATCAAAAATTATTAAACAAAATAATTTTTAATTACTTATTGAGAAATAAATATATAAAACTGATTTCGTTTTTTACCCAATATATTAATTTTACAATGTACTTACATGATCCCTATTATAGTTCATCCATCTGATTTTGGGTTAGAGCATGAAAGTTTATTATAATTATTAATATACTTTTTCTTTTCCATGAAAATAATGTAGTAATAAAAATAAATATATTGCATATATAAGTATTGGAAATAAAAAATAGCAGTGTAAGATACAAAATACAAAATTTCAATACAGCTTACAAATGATATATAAAATATTACCCCGATAGAATAAATGAAAAATAAATTAATATGTAGAGAACATTGTATCAATATATAATATTCGCATACAGCTATAGAAATATTATGCAAATGGCATAAAAATTTAAAGTATTTAATGTAAATATAATTTTTTATAAACAAAATTAATCTTCCTAAATTTTAACAGAGAAGTTAGTTTAACGATAGAAAGCAAATAAAGAAGAAAAGATCTTGTAAAATAGATTACATATATAAACTAAATTTAACTTTTTTTCACAGCCTGTTTAATATGTGAAATACGTTAGTATAAAAAAATAACTAGTAGAAAAAATAACAACTTTCCGCCATAAAATGAAGGTAAGCAAGCAGAAAAAAAAGAAAAAGAAATAAGCGCAAGAAAAAAAATACATGCCAAAAAATTATCAACTAACGCTGATATTGTTGCAGCTACCTAGCCGCATCTGAGCTATTTGTTGATTTGTCGGAGGAAGACTCTGTGTTGATCCAAATGGTGACATAATTGTAGACATCGCTCTATTTAATTTGCTTGGCGTTTTATTAAAACTAAACGCTCGGCCGACTCGCGCTCTTGTACGAGATGCAAACCTGGAGGGAAATACGCTTTGAAAATTTTTTAATGTATCTATATAATATCTAAATGCAACATTAAAAAATTTTCTTTCCCCCTTTCGAATTAGTAATTTTTTATAAGATCTTTTTTTGTGAATATGCATAAAAAATTGCATTTTTTAATTATACAATAATATATGTAATCAGAATTATTTTTTATTAGGAGGAAAAAAAATTTTATAAATGAACAGAGAGGAACGTTAACAATATCACAAAAACGTTATAATATCCAAAAAACCAGCTCGAGCAGTTAGAATATCTCCTACTGTGTGTATAGAGAATGTGAAATAAACATGCAAAATTTTATAACAATATAATGAAACACATCTAATCACACATACAGTAATTAGAAATAACGAAAACTGCACCATGGCTGCACATTAAAAGAAATAACATATTGATTAATGAAAGAGATTATATATATATCAGAAAAGCTCTATTCTCCCTCCCCTCTCCTTTGTAATAAAATAGAATCTTTTTGTACATGCTATGTTATAGACAGAAAATAAAATCAATCAATCAATCATCTTATAAAAGTTAAGTCATAATGCAGAATGATGTTTATCTATGTCATTTATGAGAAATTAGAATAATATAAGTTAAGGAGAATTGCATATGTATAATACAACAAATTATATATATGTATGTATGTATGTATGTATGTATGTATAAATATGAATATTATTATACATATTTTTTTCCAACTTAGTTCTCATTTAGTTACTAAAAAACGAGATATAATAAAAAGCTTATAATATTATATTACGCTTGAACTGATCGAAGCTAGCTGGAATTATTACTGAATAATTATATCTATTTACAGCACAAAACAATTTTAAAAGCAAAGGTTTTCAAGGGCGTAACTAGAAATCTTTATATAGAATGATAGAAAAACCAGTCTTTTCCATTTGCAAAAAAAAAAATAAAAAAATGTGTACACTTTTTAACTTTCTTTAAAACTTTACTTTTTAAATTCTCTTTAAATTTGTTAATATTGCGGGCTCTTAAAAGCGCTTAATCCCTCATTGCAGCCGTATTGAATTATGACATCAAAAGCGAGACATTTATGTATAATTTTTTTTCTTGCATTATATATCGGAATAAATTAATTTTTTCGTTTCATTCGCGTTCGATAATATAAATTAGTAAGATATAAATCTTCTGATGTCACATGTGATTTAATATAGCTGTAAGAGACCAGGAGCCTTAACTATCGTTCGTTCGCCCTTAATAATAATTACGCCACTGAGTAATGGTAAGTGTAAAGGGATAAAAAGCAAGTAAAATAATATAATCAGCCTGGTGCGAAAACTGACGGTAGTGGGACATGTAACGTGGTTTCACACATGCTATTGAGTAGGAACACATACGGGTCCATATACTCCAGGTAAAAATTATGAAATAGACTCCTGCAACCAAACGGGTTGTCCCCATTATTTTTTTATATCATGCAATGTAGTAGAATATGTACAATAGTAAATCTTTCGACCATGGCTCAGTAGAAATATACAGGGTGTCTGGTAAAGATTGTGCCAACGCTCGTGAGCGGGTAGAGCACAGTAAACTGAACAGAAAAGTCCTGTAACATTTTTTACTATAACGTTTAATAAAAGAGTTATTATTAAGTAAAGTCTAGTCAATCAGTGCCGACTTTTAGCCGGACGCACCTCGGTGAGCCGCCCGCCTGGTAGTATGTGCCGCCGTAGCGACGGAGCGCTCACGCACGCTACAGACGCGCGGCTAAAGATCGACGCTGATTGGCAGACTTTACTCAATAATAACTCCTTTATTAAGCGTTATAGAAAAAAATGTTACAGGACTTTTCTGTTCAGTTTACTGTGCTCTACCCGCTCACGAGCGTTGGCACAATCTTTACCGGACACCCTGTATATGCCAGTGCCATTTACATAGATATTAAAGTCGTTCAAATATAAAAAAGACGCTTATAAATTTTCCGCTCAACAAATTGCGACTGCAATGTGAGCTTAAATTTTTTAAATATAATAAATTTGCAGTTGCAGATTAAATCTGTTTTAATCAAAAACGCTGTAATTTTCATTGGGCAATACTTGGATCCTGTTATAAAATGTATTAACTCGGCAAGAGTGACAAAAAAATGTGCCAATAATGCTACTTGTTGCTTACTTAAGTTTGTTATTGATTTTAATTGCCATTAAAAATTCTAATCTGCCACTATATTAAGTAAAAATAAATATAATAACCTATCGTAATCATCTTTTCATCCAAAGTATTCCTTGAGCGGAAGATTTAAAAGTTTATGTTTGAAAACTAATATTTTATAGATGTCTATAGACACAAACTCTTCTCTATCTATGTAGTCTAATAAATCATCTAATTATAAATTGTGAAGGAGAAAGATATCAATCCTCACACCTTTTATGACATTTGACAAATATTTTTCATAAGAAACAAAATTCTATGTAATACAGAATAAATTTTTGCTAATTCGATATTTACAGGTGTAGATTTTAGCACACACGAGCGAATTTTTTTCCCACGCGATTGTTTGACCACATTGATTTTGTTTTAAGTAAATGTCTTCTTGTTTAATTATATATTTTCCTTTATTCCACGTTTAAAATAAATGTTTTTCCAGATAATCTTTGCAGGTAACTTCTGATACTTTTCTTCAAACTAAACATAATTCCAAGAACAAGTACTGTTAAACTGTCATGCAGATATATATATAATAAAATATAATTTTGTAAAATATGTTCCAACTTTGGCAAAAATTTAATTCTCTATTTTAAGTGTTATTTATTTATATGTTTATATATATATTTGATTTCTGATCAATTTTAAGTAGTACAATTCTTCTCAATTCCTATAGCTCTGAAACGCGCGCGCGGTTCACCGCTCGTGTGCGCCCTACGTATGCTTGATATGCTTGCGCGGCTATTGCGCCGTTGAGAAAATAGATTATATCGTTTTTTTAAAAATGTTATAATATAATCGTTCCTATATACATTTTCATATAAATCAATATGCTTTGTCGATTTGATAGCTTTTATGCCATTACAACAAAATAACCGCGCGCTGCAGAATCATTTGTGCATATTAGGCATAAGAAACATTACTTACAAATAATATTATACAGTATCAAAATACAGATATACTCACTTAATTGTTTTTTTTAATGTTCCTGATGCTACATCACCAGTACCGACTTCAAGTTGATGCGAATCATATCTGATAAGTAACGTATCCTGAAAAATAAAAAACTCTTTGAACAAAATGATAAATAGAATAAACAAACAGAGATTATATACTATATAATATTTTCTCTTATATTACTTATATTAAATTTTAATCATTCTAGTGATTAAATTTGATATACGTACAGCATCAGCTACACGAACGGCAAGAGCCATCTGTCTACACAAAGTTTGTAAATAATTTGTTTTATTTATTTCTTCGTCAGTAATTATAAACGAAAAGAACTTTTCCTTTAGTTCCTGAGTACCACGTACTACAAGTGCAAATAGTTTGTGATATCCTGGAAAAATCACAAATAGTTACAACTTTTCATAATAGTTATAATCTTTTATATGCATATATATAATATTTATTACCTTCAGTTTCTCGTATATCCACAACTTTCCGTATAGCACTGAGTGATAACATTTTGATATGTTTATATGGCTTTCCTTGATTTAATTTATTCGATTGCAAACCATTTATAGTATTAGGACTCTTTAACGAGTTAAAAGCTTTTGATCTTTTCTTACATATTTCGAGAGTATCAGTAAATAGAAACAGTACCAAATGATCACCCCGTCCACTAAGACCTTCTGTAACTTCCATTACGTCACATTTACTAATAAATGATCTATGTGAAGAAACTAAATGTGGTGGACAATTATCAATTTCATTAAAAATATCAAACATTGCTAACTGGCGTTCTGTTTTTCTTTTATCTTCGTTTATGTATGTCATAACTTTCTTAATACAGCTAATGGAAGCTTCCAGAGCACTATAGTCCGGATTACTTTTGTCGGTACGCTTAAGAATATCTGTAAAGAATATCATTTTGATATCTGAGGAATTTTGTTATAACTATAAGAAAAAAATAAAAAAATCAATTTAAAAATAATTTTACCGCTTAATAATAAATTAATACTGGGTAATCTTTGTATTGGTTTAATTAACAGCTCTTTTAAGCTTTGTCTACCACATTCTGGTATTGTCTGACAATTTTTCAAAAAGGCATGAAATCGTGGTTTGTTTTGATCACATTCTTCCAACATTTGTTTTGTATTTTCAAAGAAGTTGACATATGGAGGATATGCTTTAACCAAATCTGGTTCATATTTTAGAAATATTTTTCCAATACTAATATCTTCTGTCCAATTAGCAGCACTGCAACGTAGTGCTTCCAATAACTGCTTATGAACGTCGTAGATGGGTGGAAAATTACCAAATATAATCTTTACTTCTGTGCTATTTAACAATTCTTTTCCACTTTTCCCTATAAGATTTTCCAATGGTAATTTGAATAGCTGTAAAGTACATAAATATAGATTGTTAAAAATTTTTCAAATATGTGAATCAACTTGTTTTTCTATGGTTTGATACATAACAAGTATTTACCATCATAATTGTGTTGAGAATACCAACATAATTGGCTTCAGTCTCCACTAACTCAAGAAATACTTGATGGCGCTTTGACAAATTTTCTCTAACTTTCTGTAAATTTTCTGTATCAACAGTTTCTACCTCTGGAATACCTAACAATTAGTAATGGATAATAATCGATATAATTCTCCCTCTTATATACTTTGCTTTATGAGTTTAATAATTATATCAAATATATATTTTTTTATGCTAAATAATAATTTTAACAATCTGACATTTAAATTTCTGATTATGAAATTTTTTGATTATGTTTTGGTAAAAGATATTTAATCAAGAAGTTAATATATATTAAACTATTAAAAATATTATTGTCTAGATACATACCATCCAACTGTTTATCTGGACTTGCTGTGCAGTCGAGAAAACTTCCACTAACACTGGCTGGTGAGTCTGCTCCATTTTGTAATATATTAGATAATGGACCACCCAACCAATAAGGATGCTTCGGTAATGTTACATTTGATGCCACAATCTGTTGACTGTTTCGTCTACTAGATGTGGCAGGAGACAAAACTGTTTCTAGGTACTAAACAATAATAGGATTAGAATAAAAATTATTATTATTATTATTACCAACTTACATGTTCAAATAAATATTCTTTCTCATCTGCTGCTGCCTCATTTTGTACAGATGTCCAAAACCATCCAGTTTTGACTATGAAAGCTGATACTGAGACCAGATTTGGTAGTACATTTACATTAGATTCATCTACGACCTGTAATAAAAAGCAACTTTAATTATTTTATTATTATTATTTTATTATATCTCATTTATTACATTATTATTACAATATTCATTACAGAAATAAACAATAGACAGAGTTAATCATAACATTGGCTTAATTTATAATAATATACAATAACAAATTTTCAAGAGAACATCACAGCTGAACATCACATATTATCTTCCACAAATACCTAATACTCTGATATATTCGCAAGTATTAACACCTCACATACACAAGTAATTTCTAGGTAACAAAACAGAATATTCTACAAACCAAAACTGAACAAAAACAAGAATCATTTATATATATTACCAAAACTGAAAATTTTTTCTAATTTTGACAAGATAAATTTTTTAACTTATGTTAAATATTTTTTACCCAGGTTAATGAAAACTCTACATGTTAAGCCCTGAATTTTTTTTTCAATATTCTATATAACCTTTTTATTGTATAACATATTGTTATATTTTATTTAAACAAAATAAAAAATAAATTGGACTACTACACTTCATAAGACTTCAACAAACAAAACACAAAAAAAAATCTGAAATCAAAATACCACGAATGCTTTATCCTTCTGAGTCTTCAAATCTGTGCATTTGGTTTTTATGTTGTGTAATGCAGACTGTACACCGCAACTTTTTCCATTAAAGTTAAAAATGTTTCTTGAGATATGTTTAGTGTTTGAAATCTTTGTAGGTATTGGAAAAGACTTGGATAAGGATGTATATTTCTTTTTAAAGAGGTTTTTTTCAGGAGGAGAATAATATGAATTGGCAAAAGTGTCTTGCTCATTATCAAAAAATGTTGGACAGAAATTAAAATGACTAATTTTTGAGAAAATTGATGTGTGTGATTTAGACAAATGCTCATTTTTTTCATCTAATGTATTATATAAAAACGCATCATTATACTGTTCTTGACTATATTTCGATATGTTTGGATACGAGTGTGTTTTCATAAATTTATATTTTTCATACGTCGCTGTTTTATGAACAGATGTGCAAGATTTAGTTTTTTTCCATTTTATATATCGTTTGGGAGTTATTTTATTTTGGGAATTAGCTCTTGAAGTATTATTGCGTATGTAATGAATATTCTTATGATATTTCAAAGATAATGCATTATTACTTATTGGTGATGTACAGACTATGTGTTCATTATTCTTTTCATAAGGTGTAGATAATTTTAAATCATTTGGTTTTGCTGGAAGATTTGACATGTTTTCATATAGAGAATGTTCATCGTTAAGTAAAGAATCTTCAGAAATATTGAATTTAACATTTTTATTGCTCATCATTGTTGATGTTGCTGGAATGGAACATTTAGTCGATATAGAAAATGTAGCAGATAAATTAGATGATTTTGTTATGTCTACACCAGAATCATTTAACTCAAAGGGATGAAATATATTGCCAGATTTAATATTTGAGTTTTGTAGATTAGAACAATGATCACCTATACTAATAGCAGAACCTTGACTGACATTACTAGAAATAAGATCGTTCCATATATTATGTTCTGCATCATGTGCATGCGCATCAGATGGAATATTTTTTGATGAAGAACAGTTATCCTGAGTTTTTACAAAATTTGTATTGTCAATATTGATTGATATATTACTGTAATTATAATTATTAGTTTTTATTGTATTACAAACCGCGTTTAAATTAGGATTATAAAGAGAAGAGGAAATTGGTTTAAAGTATTTTAAGGAGGGTGGATTATGATTGGATGAATTTTTAAGATATAACTTTGCATTGGTAGATTTCTGATAGAAAGAGCCAGGTACATCTACGACCTAGAGCATGTGTCATTTGTATAGAGAATATATATTAATGTAGACAATTAATCATATATATATATATATATATATATATATAAAAGAATTTGAAATAATATTAAAATTATCAACTCACGACATGAGTACATTTCGGATCATTAATCTCGGTAGATTCGCCACCCTGCTGCTCCAGAACTTCACACATATGTTTCTTCTCTTCTTCGGGAAAACCAGAGAAACATACTTTTGCTCCATAAAATGGCTTCAGCTTATAAGTTGCAATCTGTATTCAAAATTAAATGCATTCTTAATAAA